CACATATTCATATACATAATCACACTATAATAGGTAAAGAGAAATTGAGCATGTATAAAAATTTCAGTGTTGTATAACGATAGACAACAAAAAATTCAACTAGGCAAAAATGCACATTTTTAAAAATTTACAAATTATTAGGGTTTGTATAAAATAATGTTTTAAGACTTTTATTATACTACCATATTTTAACATCCTAATAATTTTTTATTTAATAAAATGCCCACAAATTTCAAAACCCTCGGTGAAAAATTTCTAAAGAATATTAAAAATATGCATAATCATAATCTCTACAACATAAAAAAGTTATGTGGTGAAAGTTATCCCTATTTTTCACTAACACATACAAAATTTTAATCAAAATATTCACCAAAACTTACATATTTTTTAAAATTGAGATAGACGTAATGTGTCTTAACTCAAGATGAATAAGTATCCTAATTGCATTGACGGACAAAAATGGGCCCAAAATATAGATTTCCTCCTTTCTCTATCCTCTTTTCTCTTAATTTCCCTAAGCCTACTCTCTATTTTGGGAAAAAAAATTGAAAAGCAAAGTTTTATAATAATACCAGTTAGTTGAATAAGATATTTTATTTAAATATTAATTATTATAATTATTTAATATTAAAATATTAATTTTATTCAAATTCTCTTATATTTTTACATCCTAAAATTAAAAAAACATAGATAAATACTTATAAATTAGATAATTTTATCTAGAATATTCAAGTAAAATCAGTTTATAAAACGGACACTTAACGGTCCCAAAACCCCACTTGTACTGACATGTACCAATTTCTTAAGAAATCTTGATAGTGCCTAAAAAGTATCAAAAAAGTAGGGAAGCTAAAAAAATATTATAAATATTCTGGCTAAGACGATTTATGATTTAGACTTCTCTAGGTCAACTAAAAAAATCTTGAAAATTTAAAGGGTTTCATAGTAGCTCTAGGGAGAAAGGGTTCAAGGCTGAAGATTGAGGTTCTCTGCATTTTCCTAGAGGGTTGAAAAAGTATTCCATGTTCACTAACTTCACTAGGAGGATAAAAAAGCTTTGAGAGTCTATGCCTTCAATAGGAGGGTGAAAAAAAATTCCAGGTTCATAATCTTCACTAGGAGGGTGAAAGGCTTTAAGGTTATCTACCACTCCAAAAAGCTAAAAAGGATTTTGGTACTCTATCATACAAGGTTGGTGGAAGAGATTGTTGTCATGGCTTCTCCTTATGTTGGTAATCCACCACATAAAAATCTTTATTGAGAATCAATTCACTTATTATGTCATTCATTTATTTTCCTCTGAATATATTTTTTAAATATTCTTTCCTTAACTCCCACCTATAACTAGGAAGCCAAAGGGCAAGCCTAAAAAAACATAATAATTTATTTATCTAAACCTAGGTCTCTATTTTCATGCAATAAAATTATAAATATTATCTTTTATTGTGATGCTCTAGAATCTAATTTGAAAGAATTATTCTTTTACCTTTTAATAAATAATAACAAGAGTTATCTAATATCATCTATCAGTAATAAATAATAAAAAAGATTCTATAAGTTAAAATGTTTATATATATATATATATATATACATATATAATACTCAGGATCTATACAATCATTACATATATCTATCCTCATGAGTACAAATAAATAGTTAAAATAAAAAAGAATCAGAACTTGAAGGAATCTTGACCAGCCTCACACTCTAGATCCTCTATCCTATCATGAAATTATTTAATCACATATAATGAACTAAAAAGCCCAACAAGTCACCAAAACGTGTAATTGAATTCAAAGTACGATAAATGTTTAATATGTTTGTTAACTGTCAAATCATAGCAGTAATATTCATATGATCATTGAATTAGTATAGAAATAGTAAAATTTATATATAGTGGTAGTAGAATTGGTAAACTAGTACTAGTGTCAAATCTATAAAGTAATCTTTGTATTAATAATACTAATCAGTATATAAATATTATGAAGTATCAAATCAAAATATCAATAAAGACTATCAAAATCATGTGAATATGATAAAATCACATAAGAGTTTCCCCATAATATGTAGGTATTATATATCACATGCTCAATATATCATATACTTAGTATCAGCACAATGAATATGTAGTATTAAATAGTATTAATATTTAAATTGGTAATAATAATAATCTAGTGGCAAGAGCAGTAGAATAATGCAATAATAATAAATCATTACATTAATAATAAATCCACAAAATAATAAGAATATTGCCTCAAGAACATGCATTTAAGTAATTATACTAAACAAGTAAGAATTTTATGGTGTTTTTCAATATCAGTGTTAGTATCAATAACTATTAGCTTAATAAACAGAGTCATCACTCTTAACCCATCGGCATAGTAATCATTTCCTTATAACTCTCAATTAGTGTATCACGTGAATCAGTAGAGGATAATATCAAATTATAGTATTTAAAGAAAAGTTTGTCAGCTCACCATCATGTACAGATAAATCAGTCTCCAAGAAACGTGTCAACTAGACTTTGCTTGTCTTTTACAAACAATATATTATCATAGTACTATAAAATTAATCTCATTTTTAATATATTATAATAAATAAAATATAATTGAGCTTAATTTAAAAACTCATAAAATGTCCTAAAGATAGATAACAAAAATTATGCTAAGCAAAAATTTACATTTTTAAAATGTAACCAAATCATCAAATATTACATAAAATAATATTCTAAAATTTTAGCTGAACTAAATCATTATTTTTAGAAGTTAAATAAATTTCTGAGTAGGCAAAAATCACTATATTTCTAAAATCATCACGTAAAAAATCTCAAATAAATACTTAAAATATTTATAATTTCAATCTCTATAACATATAAACAATTAAACACTGAAAGTCTTACTAATATACAATTATTCTCATTTTTCGATAACAGAAACATAAATTTGATCGAAAAAATAACAAAAAACACAAAATATTTGAAATAAAAAATAGGGTAAAATTTCGTTACAACGAGATAAGGAAATCTTCTAATAATATCGACGGACAAACATTGCTCTACTGGCCTCCAAATCTCAAGTTTCATTTTCTCTCTTATCACTTAATTTCTCATTAGCTTTATGTGTTGCCAAAAATTAAATGGTAAAAGGGATTTAAAAAGCTTTTAATGTCTCTTAGTTGATTAGGATATTTTAATTAAAATAATAATTTTATATTATATAATTAATTTGATCAATTTATTTTAGTATAAAATTCATATATGTTATTTTGGGCCTTAAAAATTATAGAAAAATATATATTAAATAAATCATTTTGTTAAAAAAATATCGATGAAATCGATTTACAAAACGGACACCTGACAATTTCGAAACCCCCACATGTACTAGTAGGTGCTAATTTCTTATGGAGTTTTACTTGCGCTAAAAAATTAAAAAAAAAAATCATGTAAGTAAAATACTATAATAACAATGCTATGACAAAGACATTTGCGATTTGAGCTTATAATGACTCAAGGAAAAAAATATTTACTTGGGTCAAAATACAGGCTATTAAATTTATTTTCTCTAACACACTCTCTTTTTACTTATCTATTTTTTGTAGCCAATCATGCAAGTAAGGTTTGAATATCACCCACGGACAAATTTAAAATCAACAAATCACATGGCATTTCTTCGTAGTGGATTGATGAGAATTTGACAAGTCTTACACAAGTGGGGCATTACCATTAAGGTTAAACAATATTGTAGCTCAATCACCTTCAATTTCTTTCATTTGTGGCTCAATATTTCATCATCGTAGGGTAAGAAATGGTAAAAATCAGCATGTCCCCTTTGCTCCCCAACTATCATTATTGTGGTTGTTCTTGGAAATCTAATTAGTCATTACCATTAGTCTTTCACAAAGCAATGAGACATCCACCAAAATGATCAGTTGCTTGACACATGCACTTGGCCCCCCTTTGCCTCCCCTTCGAATTTGGTTTAAGTTAAAAGTTGACTGCGCTCTTCTTCCTTGCCATGTTGGGTTGATGGCTGTTATTCAAAATCATTATGGGGATCTCATCTTGGTAGCATCAGGACAATACATATGTGGAAATTTAGGCAATCCTTTCTTTGCAACATGTTTTTGAGCCTTAGATGTTTGAGGCACAAGGGATTGTTATTGAAGGTGATAATGCTAATGTTATCAAATGATTTCAGTAGGTCATGCAAAATTTTAGCTCAACCTTGCTCTAAATGATCAAGATATATCTTTTTTGTCCTATTTAAGAGGTTCTCTTCCCCTTTCACTTCATAATATGCCAACAAAGTAGTTCACTTCTATTCAAAATTTACTTTGAATTATATATATATATTTTTTTGAAAAAAAGATAGTCAAAATCATTGTTTATCTTTTTTGTTTTAATTGAAGGAAGATAGTAGCATATGAACACGCAAAGTGTACTATTTTATATCTTTTTTGTTTTTCAATGCCAAGTGCAAATTTTAACATGAATAAATTTGAATCTAGCCTTAAAACAAAAATAATTAATGAAATATATCTTTATCATTTTGATTAGTTCACCTAAAACCTTTAATTTTTTAAATGATATTTTTTCTTTTTCTAATCTTGAAACACAATTCGGTTAATTGCGGTACTCTAATGTGGCTTTTCACACATTCGACTATCAATATTATTCATTAAATTGTTGTAAAAATTTAAAATAAGCCAACCTTTTTTTAAGAGTGCTCAATTATTTTTGGTGGTGAATCAACCCGCCACCCGCTGTCAGGCCAACTTACTACGAGAGCTAATTCAACAGCATTCATCATGTTTTTCAACAAACATCGCACGTTAAAATCGTTACATTTCGCCACGTGGCAAATCATACCACGCATATCCTACGTGGCGCTCAAATTGATCTGGGGATAGTCGTGTGTACAACAATTAGGTGTCAGAAGCATCGGCCATCACCCACTCGCTTTCTCCAACCCTGGACAATATAAATCGGAAACATCAAGCGGATCCGAGAAGAACAATTAGAGAAGCCGCCGCTTTAGCTGCCAAGTTTTACATTCGCAGCTTCTAGTGAACTAGAGGTCTTCGCATCGAGGATGAGGTGGGTGTCTAGAGCTGCCTTTCATCTGAGGATCTCCGTCTTCCGGAGGGGCTTCGCCTCTGGTTGATCCTTCACCTTCTTGCCAGCATTTGGTTCCATTCGTTTCTTTTGTTTGGTACCATTTTTTTTGTGTGTGCTTGGTTTTTAGAGATCTCCTTTACTTTCTGACCTGAAGATTATATTTTATTTGGGGATGTCTACTTGTTTATTCTTTATTTTTTATTTTGAGATCTCCTTTACTTTCTGACCAACTTTTCTGTTATGAAGTTTTTCCTTTCTTTCTTACGAGATTAATGTCTCTTTTTGAATTTTTTTTAAGAATGTTATTCGGGTATTCATGAATTACTTAATGGTGTTCATCTACTAAAGATCCTTAGGTTGTAGACAGCTAATATATTATTGAGGAATTTGTTGGATCCAAGTTTGTCCTTGTATAACACCTGATCCTAGTAGCAGGAGAACTCTGAGAGGGGTGACCCAAAATTTGTGTGATAATAGAAATAATAATTCAATAGAAAAAAATTGTAATGCAAAAGCCTAAGAGGCTCTAAATCTCAATGTGTAAATAAAAATATCCAAAGGGCTCCTCATCAGAATATTATTAGGTCCGGACACCGGACATAGAGATAGGTGTATAAGTCAATAAAATGTGGACACGTGGAGTTGACACGTGGATATTCAATATGTTTAATGTGTCCACGGAACTTTAAGCCAAGAGCATCAAAAGCGCAACTAAAGTGCAGTATAAAAAAGCGCACTTAAAGCGAATGCAAAACGCAGGTAAATCACAGGTAAAGCACAATCAAAGCGCAGTAAAAAAAACACACTTCAAGCGCAGCTAAAATGCAGATAAAACGCAAGTAAAACGCACAAAAAAGCACAACTAAAGTACATAATATGTCAAATTTTTAGTGGATGTCCGAACCTATCTCTACGTCCGGTGTCCGGACCTAATAATTTTCACTCCTCATCACCCTTTATTTATAGTAGTCCTAGGGCTACAAGAAAAAAAGCCGCACCTATAAAGAAATATAAAATACAATGTTTTTAGACTCTTAATATTTAGCCTAGACATGTGTCGCCCTCTAGTTAGTTGGAGGGAGAATAATTCTACATATTCTTGATAATTTGTCACCATGAGAGCTCCATAATGGAAAGTGAGTATGAGCGAGTTTAGCAGTGTTGAGTGTGCGTGATTGAGTCTATCAATGAGCATTGAATAAGAGAGACTCGTGGCTGTGGGATACTCTGAGGTCATTGGTGACCTTTATTGGAGCCATGTGTTGCCTAGAAAAGGAAGGCGAGTGAGTTATAATTATGGAGAAGATGAGTTTCATAGTAAGATGGTTGTGATGTAGTGAGCCAGAAGTCTCTTAAGGAGGCACTTCATGTAGCTAAGATGGTGAATGTGAGTAAGGTTGTTTATATCATGGTTGAAGGCGAGTTTTTTCAATGGACAGGTGATGTAGGCAGGGGGGGGGGGGTCAAAACTAAATGAATATTTTGGCTGCTTGCTATTTTCAGTTTGGTGAAGTTGCTATTCTCGGATGGGATTTGGTTGCTTGGTTTTGAGCTCAAAATACTGAAATTTTACTTAGTGTTAGCTCATTAATGTTGAGCTGAAGTTTAGCTCAATGATTGTGTGATTTATTGCACTTCCTAGCTCATTAATTCAAAAATGTTTGCTATTAAGTCTTGGGTTCATTTTGGAGTGGACTTTGCCCCTTCTTCTCCCTTTGTTTCTTCGGTTTCCTCTTGGCCTTTGCTGTTCTCGTTGCCCTTGACTGTTTTCCCGTGCTGATGTTCCGTTCTCTGTGCTTGCTCCTCGGTTCCCTTGATGGCTGGGTTTCCCGTGGCTGCCTGCTTGGTTTCCCGTGGCCTTCTCTTCTCTGTTTCCTGTTCCGAATGGGGGCTGCTGTGTTGTGGCTGTTGGCCTTTCATTTCCATAAATCTAATTGGTTTGGTTGGAGGTGTTATGGCTGTTTGGTTACTCTCTTTTGCCTATAAAATGGAGATGTTTTGGCATGGAAAAGGTTTGTGATATGATGAGATTTTTGGAGCCAAAAACTTGAGAGGTTTCTCTTCTTTGTTGGAAAAGCTTGCGAGCTTGTTCCACCCCTTTTCCTTCTTCTAGGAAAGCTTGCAAGCTTCTCCTTCCTTTCGTCTTGGCTTCTAATCTATTGTTCTATCCGTAAGTTCCCTTCCACTTGCATCCTTCTTCTTAAGGCAAAGCTCCTTTAACTGTTTAAGGTGTCTTTATGTTTTAAAAGTTTGTAAGTGACTTGTAAGCGTCTTTTATATTATAAAAGTTTTTTTTTTGTCTAATTTGTCAAGTTTTTGTGAGTTCATGTAAGTTTCTATTATCTTGGAAGAAATTATTTTTTGCTTGCAAAAATTTGGGTCCCTTCCCAAATTTTTGCTTGCATCAAAATGATATCAGAGTGGATTAGCAAATACCGGTGTGTCATGTAATTTTGTTTTTTGAGTCATGAGTCATAGTCCATGCAATCAATCTTCAGAAACCTTAGGACAAGATTCAAAGCAAACTCTAGCTTCATCAGGAGATGAATTCTTTCAACCGAAGGAGAATCTGATATAGGCAAGGGGGGTCAAAACAAGTTGAGTTTTAAATTTTGGTGAGCTTCTAAAATCAGCTCATTAATAAGCCTCTTCTACTTATTTAACTCATTAATTGGAGAAATTATTGTATTTAAAAGCTCATTATGAGCTGAAGTTTAGCTCATTTATTTGGAGTAGTATTGTGTCTCTTCCACTTCCCCTTATTTTCTCGGTTTTTCCTTGGGCTGCTTGTTGTTTTCGGTTTCTGTTGCCTGTTGCTGTTCCTGTGGTCACTCCCTCTCGGTTTCACCTCCTGGCTGTCTTTCTCGTAAACTACTGCCTTGTCTCTTGTGCCGGCTCTTCGAGTCCCTTGCTGGATGGTTTCTCGTCGCTGTTGGTGGGGTTTTCTGTGGTTGTTTCTCTATTTTCTGTGCAGAAATTCGGCTGGATGTTTATTGTCTTTTGGCCATTCATTTCCCCAATTCTTATTGGACTTGGTTGGAGGTGCTATGGCTGTTTATCTACCTTATTTTGCCTATAAAATAGAGTTGTTTTGGGATGGAAAATGTTGGTGAAGATGCTTATTTTTGGAGACAAAACCTGAGGGTTTCTTGGATAGCTTGCGAGCTATGCCACCTCTTCTTCTTCCTTCTAGGAAAGCTTGTGAGCTTCTCCTCCATATCTTCTCGGCTTCTAACCTCCTTTTCGCCGCAAGTGACCACCCCACCTATATCCTTCTTCTCAATGGATGAAATGCAATTTTAGGAAGTTGTATGCGTCGTTTGTAAGCGTCTTGTAAGCTTCTTGTAAGTGTCCTTTGTTGTAAGTGTCTTTATATAATATAAAAGGTTTTTTTTGGGTATTTGTGTGCAACTTCTATTTCTTATGAAGGTCTAGCTCTTACTTGCAAAAATTTGGGGCCCTTTCCAAAATTTTGCTTGTATCAATTTGGTATCAGAGCAAGTTAGTATATCCTAGGTTATTGAATTGTGTTATTATTTGAGTCTTGGTGTCGTAAGAATTTTTTTGAGTTCTTGTTTTGAGTCTATATGGATAGTCCATGTAATCATCCTTCAGATCAAGATTCAAATGAGTCCCAAGGAGAATTTGACCCTGCCAAAGTTACAAATGAACTAACTATTATGGATGTGAAGATTCCAACTATAGAAGGGATTCCATCGCAAGGAAGTTCTACAAATCCATACAAAACGAATTGTATAAAATTCAATATCAAATGTTCTTGTGTTCAGAGAAATTCGAGAAGAAAAAGAAATTTCTGCAGGACAAATTCAAGCAAGAACGTGAGAAGATTTTGAAGAAATACGAGGCGAAGATTCAAGAGCTTGATGCGCCTTCTTCGCCTGCTCGGAAGAAATCTAAAGCCTCCTTATCAGAAGATGAGTCTTTTCAAGTGGGGGAGAATTGATGTAGGCAGGGGGGGTCAAAACAAAATGAATATTTGGGCTTCTTGTTGTTTTCAGTTTGGTGAAGTTGCTGTTCTCGGATGGGCCTTGGTTACTTGGTTTTGATCTCAAAATGCTGGAATTCTGCTTAGTGATTTATTGCTCTTCCTAGCTCATTAATTCAAAAAGGTTTGCTATTAAGTATTGGATTCATTTTGGAGTGGACTTTGCCCCTTTTTCTCCCTTTGTTTCTTCGGTTTCCTCTTGGCATTTTCTATTCTCGTGGCCCCTGGCTGTTTTCCCGTGCTGATGTTCCGTTCTCTGTGCTGGCTCCTTGGTTCCCTTGATGACTGGGTTTCCCGTGGCTGCCTGCTTGGTTTCCTGTGGCCTTCTCTTCTCTGTTTCCTATACCGAATGGGGGCTACTGTGTTGTGGCTGTTGGCCTTTCATTTCCCTAAATATAATTGGTTTGGTTGGAGGTGTTATGGATGTTTGGTTCCTCTCTTTTGCCTATAAAATGGAGATGTTTTGGCATGGAAAAGGTTGGTGATATGATGAGATTTTTGGAGCAAAAAACCTGAGAGGTTTTTCTTATTTGTTGGAAAAGATTGCGAGCTTGTTCCATCCCTTCTCCTTCTTCTAGTAAAGCTTGCGAGCTTCTCCTTCCTTTCGTCTTAGCTTCTAATCTATTCTTCTATCCGCAAGTTCCCTTCCACTTATATCCTTCTTCTCAAGGCAAAGGTCCTTTAGGTGTTTAAGGTGCCTTTATGTTTTAAAAGTTTGTAAGTGACTTGTAAGCGTCTTTTATATTATAAAAGTTTATTTTTTTGTCTAATTTGTCTAGTTTTTGTGAGTTCATGTAAGTTTCTATTATCTAGGAAGAAATTGTTTTTGCTTGCAAAAATTTGGGGTCCTTCCCAAATTTTTGCTTGCATCAACAAGCTGCCGTATGAGGTGAGCGGTGAGTTACTTGATCCACAAGAACTCTTAATTTTCCCATGAGGTATGATTTACTTTTTTAGGCCAGTGCAAATAGGGTCTTATGATCCATGGGCAAGCTCATTTGTTGGGCCCATGGGGTGTGAGCTCCTTTATTACAT